GTTGCGTAAGCGTAGTTTTGAACAGGCCTTGGCCACATATTAGCAGTCCAGGATGTCAGCCCTCATTGTTTCTTGCACTTAGGCGCGTGCTACCAAGAAATTGCGCACTGCCAAGGAGGCCGCGGCAAATTAATTGCGGTTGCAGACTTGCAGCGGAGGTCCGTGTGCGCTTGTTGGTCTGTAGTACCACCAGCTGGAGTCTTCTTGCTATAGCTGTTGTTTAGCTGTTGCTTTTCAGTGACACTTGATCTAGGGCTGACTCCTTCCTGTTGGTTGATCACCGCCAGCCCCCCCACCAGCTCAAAGCTGCCAGCAGAGAGTGTGCCACGATGTAGTGGTGACCTCGTGCCTGTCCTGCTAAAAGCACCTTCGGAGGGGCTGCCCGTGGGGGGTTTGGTGTTGTTGTGGCGACAGGCTTATTCGTGAAGAAGTGTTCAGGCACGAGCAATGGTTGGGTCTTTCTGGAATTGCGTGCCCGCAGATCAGAGTAAGCTGTTGGGGTCGTCCACAGAACTGCTGGGCTTGGAGCTGCTGGAGAGAACTTCGCTCGCATGAAGCAGTTTGTGGCGTTCGTCCAGGGTCTGTCGGTACCTTGCGTCCCAGACGCTGTCAATATGAGCCGTGCAGTCAAGCAGCGACGTCTCAAGCTGTCGGCAACGTGGGCTACTATTTCAAGCAAGCGTGCTCTGCCTTCCGAGATTGCCCGTGACCTGCGAGCTGTGGGTGTGCATGGCAAAGTGCAGGATGCTGTCGAGATCTAGGCACGGCTGTGACTGCTGGCAAAGGGCGGCCTAGCTCCGAGATGAGAGCTCGGCGTGCTCGTGCTGCGCATAAAGGCTGATAGTGTGCAGTATTTGACTACCACTTGCAAGGGTGCATTTAAAGTCTACAAACCTTGGGTGCTGGTTGTCGAGACCTGGGGCCAGTTTGTGCTCGGAATCTCTTTTGCAAGGTCAGGGTGTGTGTGTGTGTGTGTGTGTGTGGGCAGGCTGATCAACGTTCAGGATGGTGGAGTCCAGGGTCCTGTTCTAGTGCGCTCCTGGAGACGATCGACGGTGAAAACTGATCCCATGTTCGATGTAGGCGTGGCCGTCTTTTCATTTGCGGCAAAACTGGGTCGATCCGCACCACGAGTTCAATATGCGTATCATGAACTTATGGCCTGCCTGTGCCTCTGAGATTTCTCGCCTTCTCCTGCTCGAGTTTGGAGGCGGGTGCGAGGTCCTGTTGCTTCTACTGTCGCAGTCTTAATCGATCTTGGCTGGGATCCCGTCGCTCCGAACCCGTTGGCGAAATCGCGGTCGAGCGTGCAGCTTTTTATGATTTCGCGTTGCAGTGCTTGCAGCGGACGTGCCAGGCCGTGATCTCCGCCATGGCGGAGACGGATTGCATGGGATTAGAAGTTGGGGAGGTGACGATTTCACCCCCGTGTGTTCTTCTTTGAGGAAGATGTCGAGTGATTTTGATGGCCGAGGAGTTTTGAGGACTGCGGCGTTTTTGGGCCGGGGAACGTGGGTGCCAGTGGGTACGCCAGTGTTTCGAATGGCCTGTGTCGCCCAAGCGGGCGCGCGCCCGGGGCCCGTTTTGCATTGTTGTTGTCGACGTGAGTGCAGTGGGCAGATGCCCTCAGCAGCCGTGGGGCGAGACCGGCGGCTACGTCATCGGACTTCTCAAGACTGCGAGTCCTGCTTAGCTTTCTGGTGCCGCGGCCTTGTGCTTCAGAGGAGGTCGATGGTCCATCATTCCGCTCCGATCGAGTTGTTCCAGGGAGTCCTGGCGCACTTTCGGCTTCCCGCGTGGCCGCGGAGGGGAGGTCTGGGGAGCGGGCAGATCGGGGGGGGGGGGGCGCGCCAAGGGCCGGGGGCAGAGGCGATGGGCATGGGCAGCTTCTGGGCTCGGAGTCGCTGCAGGATGTTGCTGGTGTTCTCCGCGGAGCCCTCGGCGGCAGGATGCAGAGCTCGCCCGCGGCGGGGCGCGCCGCCTTCGGTTTCGCTGCTGCGTCGGGGTGCTGGTCGCATCCGGTTCTTCCTGAGTCATTTTCCATGGTGTGTGTGTGTGTGTGATTTCACGAGCCCCCCTCCTTCCCTGGCTAAGCCTGCCATGGATGACGTGGGCGTTGGTTCGGGCTGGGTAAGCGCGAGGGGGGCGTGGAGCGTTGGGCGAAGCCTCGCCCGACAGCTCATCAGCTGGAGGCTCTGGGCTTGGTGCGGGTCGAACGGCTGTTGAATGCGGTTTCCGATGAAAGCGCTGGTGGGGCCGCGTCGGGGTGCGAGGCTCCGTTGAAGGCAGTTGCCGATGAATGTGCTGGTGGGGCCGAGAGTCGGGGCGCCTCTTCTCCCGGACATTTCCAGGTCGCCATTGCTCGTGACGCCCTCGATCGTGACGTTTTGTGTCGTGCAGCTGCCGTCCAACGCGAAGCTCGCATGCTATGCCAGCGCGGGCGCGCGCGTGCAGGGCATGGGCGCGAGCGGGCTCGGAGGTCTGGGGCTTCCCTTGGTGCCGGCCTTGCGCGTTTGAGGGGGGCTGGGCGCTGTTCTCTGGTTGCGGCCATTCTGATCCAGTGTGGCATCTGCTCTCGGATGCTTCCCCGGCCGGTCAGGATGTCTAGATTTCCGCATTCGCGTGGGCCGCCGGGGGAAGATCGGTTCGGGTGGGAGTTCAGGGGCGCGCGGAAGCGCATGCGGTTTTGGCGCAGGGGCCAGTGCCGCTTAGTGGAGTGGAGGAGGGGGCTCGCTAGCCTCGCAGTTGAAAAGGGTGTTCCCCGCCCCCCCTCTGCCTCCCCCGCCCCACCCTCTGCCCTGGCCCCCCCCCCCGCTGGTAGCTAGGCTTGTCTCTACCATGAGTGCCAGCGGGCGCTTCGGTCCGCTGCGGCCTGGAAGACTCGCCCGAGTGAGAAGTCCCCGTCGTTGGGTTGGACAGGCCCCGGGGTTTTGCCCACGGCACCCGGTGTCGAGCCTGCGGGACCCGGCTCCGCGCGCGCCTATAGAGCTCTTGCCAGACATGTCCCCCCCCCCCGAAGTCTGGAGTGTCCCCCGGGTGTGGCCAGTTCCTTGCCCCCGCGGTCCGCGGAGCAGATCATGTCTGACAGGGAAGCAGGTGCCGAGGCCAGCCCAAGCGTTCGGGGGGAGGCAGGTCACCGCGCGGGGACGGCCGTGTGGCCCTCTTGTCCGTCCGCTGGGCCCGTCCTTTGCTCCTGCCCCTGTGCTCCTGCCCCGCCCGTCGCCCCCTCGCGCTGTCGTGTGCGGTCGGAGTGGTGAGCTCGGCCCAGGTGGGCTCGGTGCCCCCTGGCGCCATCCAGCCCGGCCGCTTCTGCTGCGTTTTTGGAATGCATTTTTTCGGGCCAGCGCAGGCTCAGGGACCTGCAAGGCTGGCTCGAGGAGCCGAACACCGCGAGTGTACGCTCGAAGAGCTGCACGCCACTAGCGTTCCACCGTTCAGAAGCCTGCGCCGAAGACGCAACACATGTTTCAGAAGGCCGGACGGCTTCTGAGAAGCCCCGCCGCTTTCTGAGAAGGCCTTCTTCTTCTCACTCTCCCCCTCGCTCGCCGCCGAGGGAGGGAGGGAGGGAGGGAGGGAGGGAGGGAGGGAGGGTGGGAGGGCGGCAGTGTGGGGGTCGGAATAGGAGGAGGCAGGAGGAACAGGTGGAAAAGGAGGGAACTGGAGGGATGGAGGGAGGGAGGGAAATCGGGGGGAGGACAGGGGGTGGGATGCAGGAGCCATGAGTCAAGACAAGGAGGAGCGGCAGGCGGAGGACCTGGGAGGAAGGACGACGATGTGGAGGTCGGCCGGCCCGAAGGCCTGGGCGTTGCTGGACCCTTCGGCCACGCCCCAGCAGCTGCTGGGCCTGCTGCAGGCCCTGGGCGACGTGGTGCCGCAGATGACGGCCCAGCTGCCACGGCCTCGGCGGCCCCTCCGCGCCCGGGCGTCCCCGAGGAGGAGGAGGAGGAGGAGGAGGAGGAGGAGGAGGAGGAGGAGGAGGAGGATGAGGAGGAGGAGGGGAAACAACAATAATAATAGCAATAATAATAATATTCGTATCAATAATACGAAGAATACTATGAATAGTAAGACGAAGAGTAACAATACCAATAATAAGAACATGATACTAGTACGACGAATCGTACTACTATTGTTGTTAATAGTAAGAATACTATTAGTAGCACTGCTAATAATAATACCAAGACTAAGCATGCGAATATTAATATGCATAGGAAGAATCATGCTACGAGTAACACGCATAATCAAAAGAAGGGGACGACGACGACTACTACTACTACTGCTACGACTTTACTATTACTACTACTACTACTACTACTACTACTACTACTACTACTACTACTACTACTACTACTACTACTACTACTACTACCACTACCACTACCACTACCACTACCACTACCACTACCACTACTACTACTACTACTACTACTACTACTACTACTACTACTACTACTACTAATAATAATACTACGACTACTACTTTACTACTTTACTACTTTACTACTTTACGACTACTACTACTACTACTACTACTACTATTACAACTACTGCTAATACTTACAATACGAATAATCATCGTCACAATAACAGTTTTAAGCGCAATAGTAATACGAACATGTATAATAATAAGATTAATTCGGATACTTATGAAACAATCGTACAACATAGGAATACTCACACTACGATCAGTAATTAAAGTACGCCTACTGATAATACGAAAACTAATAATATATACAGCATGCCGAGCACAATTACTATTACTAAGAGACGTACCAATGATAAGATTAATAACGATACGAATCATTGGAATTATAATAATAATAAGAAGAAAAAGAGCAGCAGGAGGAGGAGGAGGACTGGAGGAGGAGGAGGAGGAGGAGGAGGAGGAGGGAGGAGGAGGTGGAGGAGGAGGAGGAGGAGGAGGAGGAGGAGGACAAGGAGGAGGGAGGAGGACAAGAGGAGGAGGAGGAGGGAGGAGGAGAGAGGGGGTGGAGGAGGGACGACGGACGGCATCTCTCCTGCGGTTGCTGCCCCCGTTGCCCCCTTGTTTTTCGCCCCCTCCCTCTCGTGGTCCGCACTGGCGTGCTTACAGCCGGCACCGCGGCGTCACCTCCCGGCCCCTTTGTGGGGCCGCGGGGCCACCCCTGCGAGACGATGGGGCGCAGTGTTCGGCGTGTCAGGCGGCAGTCGTCATCGTCGTGGTCGTCACCGCACAGCAGTAATTAGCAGTGGCAGTTCAAGCCGCGGTCCGCGCTTCGGTAGCCGAAGTTGTGCAGAGCCATGGCCGTCTCCATGAAGCTGCGTGTGCAGCTGTCGGAGCAGACGGCCGAGTGGTTTAAGTACCAGGGCATCGACATCAATTGGGACAACAAGGAGTTGCTCACCGTCACATGTCAGGAGTCCCCTCTGACCATTGAGGAGGTGAGCAGCTGGATCGAGGCGCGGGTCGAGAACATGTATGATTACCAGACAGGCGGCAAGGACCGCTCCCCTTTTTGTCCTCATCGTCTATTCCGCCCCATCTGTCTCCATCGCTTCACCAGCCCACAGGCGGCCGTGGCATGGAAGCTGGCGGCCGCCGCAGCCAGCCAGGATTCTGAGAGCGAGGGTTGACGTGTCGCCACGGCGGGCCACGGCTCTGAAAGCTGGGAGTTCAGCACTGCGGCCTGTGGCTGCTCTTCCTGGCTGTGGCGCCGCTGCGCGCGTTCGTTCCTGTGAGCCTGGCCCGCGGGGCTCGGCGTCTTCTTTCTGAAAGCGGGCATCTGACTGGATCGGTCGCTGAGCGGTCGCCGGCGCGCCTGCGCAGATGCCCCGACTGGGGCGTCCCCTGGCCCCACTTGGCCACGTTTTCTGCTCCTTGTCATCCTTCTTCTCCGAGACCGCCCAGGGATCCCCTGAACCCTTTCGAATCTCCTGCATCGGCCCAATGATAGTTCCTTGAAGTTTCGTCACATCGCTCGCTAGCGGAAGCCGACGGAGGTAAAACGGGGCGGAAGACGGCGGAAGGCCCGTTGGAAGGTTTGCGGAAGGCAGCAGAAGTAGATGACACCCCCATAGCCACGGTAGAAGCCTAGCAATGCAGTCTTCTGCCGTGGGCCGCGCGGGATCCCGCCTAACTTGCTCCCTTCTAATATTCTAAAGTCAGTTCAGCCAGACTAAAATCCCACCCATAAAAAATAGGGTAAAGAAATATCGCGGGTCGTTCACGGATCCCGCCATGTTGGGATCGGTTCGAAGTAAGATGGGGCTCCGAAGCTGCAGTATTCCTGGCATGTCAGGGTCGTCTTGAGATCATCTTGATATCATATCCTCGATCACGCTTGGATCGCGCAGCCGTCGCGTGTTCATTCTGGGGCCACCCTTGGCGCGCGTGGATCCATCTTGTTGCTATCGGGCCATCTCGGCGTCACTCGTGGCTCATGTGTTCGGTCATCTTCGAGTCGGCCTGAGACGGTCCAGAATATATGGCGGGATCGTGTTGGGGTGGCGTCATCCCAGGGTTGTCTGGACGTTACCGCCTGTGGCCTCAGGCACTCTTGGAACCAGTCTGTAGCTCTAGGGACGTCTTGGGATCTCGCGCGCGCGAGCGCTGAGCATGCGCGCGCGACAGTTCATGTCGCCGACGTGTGTGCACACATATACCTTCGTTGCGAGTTTCCAAGGGATCCCTTCGGGGAACCAAGTTTTCGGCCCTTTCAGCAGAGCCACCTGCGAGCACCCAAGCCCTACCTCCCCTCCTCGCTGCGTCTCCTCATCTTCCCTCCCTCCTCCGTTCTCCACCCCGTCCTCATCTCTCCTCCTCGCTCTCCTCGTCTTTTCTCTATCTTCCTCCTTGCCCGCTTGTCTCTCGTCCCCCCCTCCTGCTCCTTCCCCTCAAAGGCCCTCCCCGATCCCCCATAACCCTTTCGAAGAAAGCATATCCCCCTTTGTGCCATCTTCAAACAGCTGAAATCCTTGGCCCTTCGCGTATCCCCACCAGGTTCGTAGCCTTTTGTCTCAAGCCGTCTCGGCTCGAGGTTGGTCGGCGCGACCTGGGTCCGCCGCCACCGTGCCGCGGCTTGCCATGCCAGGGGATCTCGGCGCCGCGCCTGCCGGCTCCGCCGCCGCGCGCCGGCGCGTCGAGCCGCGCGCGCGACTGCCGCCGCCTTGCCGCCGCCAGGCCGTTTTCGGCTCCGCGGCGAGTGCGGTGGTCCTGCCGCGGCCCACGGCCGAGGCGGCGCCGCGCCTGGCGCCGCGCCGCCCCCTGCTGCCGCCACCGCCTCGAGGGCCGCCTCGCCCGCCGGCGCGGCCGGCCTCGCGGTGGACGCGGCGGCTGCGGCTGCCGCCTGCGTCGATGCCCTCGCGGTCGCGGCTCGCGCGGCTCTCTGGGCGGCTGCGGCCACGCTGGCGCCACGATGGCCGCCGCTGGCGCCACGATGGCCGCGGCTGGCGCCACCTCGGCCGACGCGGCCGCCGCTGCAGCCGCCGCCGGCTGCCGCCCCCTGCTGGACGAGGAGGTGCTGGAGTGGGTCCTGGAGGAGGGGGTGGTGGAGCAGGAGCTGCAGGAGGTGTTCGAGGACGCGCGGGGCGACGTGGAAGTGGAGGCGGAGGACGAGGACGAGGACGAGGACGAGGTAGACGAGGACGAGGTGGAGGGCGTCGTGAAGGTGGATGTGGTGGGCTCCTGGGACCCTGCTGGGTTCGCAGCAGCTGGCATCGCGGAGAACCTCCCCGATCGAAGGACCGACGAGTATCGGATTGTCAACTACGCTTATGCAAACCGAGCTCCCGGCAATCCTGTGTGTCCAGAACAATACGCGAATGGGGTGCCAGCCAAGAGATCTCGATACTCACGACGACATCTCGGAACATAGCAGCAGCAGCGGCGGCTACGTGCCACCCCCCGTTTCGTCGACAGATGATGACGTCCCAGAGGGGAATCGAGAGGTGGTTGAGGCAGAGGTCACGATACCACCCCCCGCATCGTGGTCAGACGATGACGTCCCAGTGGGGAACCGAGAGGAGGTAGCCTGCAGTGACCAGTGTACAGCTCACACTAACGACCCTCCCCTTCAGCAGTACCATCAGGCCAGAGGAAAGGAGCGGGAAGTCACGGCGGAGACGGCGGAGTCCGTCACCAGTCCTTTGGGAGAGCCACGCGCCCTGCAGGGAAACCACGGAGCATCCACCCAGACGCAGGACAGCGAAGCCATCCGCTGGCTCGTCGGGAGAGGCCTCTTCGCGCCCATTCGCCCCCCTTCCCCTTTCAGTGAGCTTCTTATGGACAGCGAGCCCCAGGCGCCCTCGTCAGGCGTCCAGGGCGCCGCTGGCAAAGCAGCTTGCGCCCCGGCCATGGAAGCTGTGCCGCCGAGGGTGCACGCGCCCGGCGCAACCAGTGGTACCCCAGAGGCCGGAGAGAGTCCTGCGCTGTCCAAAAAGGACGCACCTGGGAGCGACGGCGGGCACAGGCCCGAAGGCGAGCGTCAGCGAAAGGGGCCCCTCCCCACGTGTCACAAGGCTGCGTCTGCCCTGGCCGCCCGACGCGACCCGACTCCAGCCTGGCGGTTCACCGTGCGTCCTGCATTTCCCCGCAAAGCCCTGCCAGGCGTGCAGCTGGGGCTGTCGCGAGCAGATCGCGAGCCCCCCAGCCAGGACAACGAGGCCCGTGCGGTGGAGACTTGCGGCCAGGATGCACGGCGGCACCAGAGGCCCGACTCGCGTCAATGGCCAGAGCCCAAGGACCCCGACGCGGGACAACAGCTGTACAAAACAGGAATCAACAACATCCAGTGGGACCTCCCCGGGGAGACACCCGGCGAAGCGATGCGACGACTCCAAGTCACACTGGGACCGATGTTCACGGGCACCTGGCACGCTTTCGCCGAGCGGCAGTCTGTGCCCAGCAGCAAGGGCGCGCTTGACCCGCTTCGGCACGACCCGCAAACCTGCCACCTCTTCCTGGAATCCTTCCGCAGCCGCAAGTGCGACGTGCGGGTCCTCAGCGACGCGCTGGGCCTCGACGTCGACTGGTCCCGGCCGTGGCAGCTGCGCCTGGGTCGGAGCGGCGGAGTGAACAGTGATCACCACGCGGCAAAGGGCCACCCGAACCACCAGGCCCCCAAGGAGCGCAAAAAAACAGTGGTGGGCCGTCTCCCCACAGTAGCCTCGCTACCCCCCTCGTGGATCGCACGCGCGGGGACCTGGTGCGTGGAGGGCGGTCACTGGCAACAGGCCCGTCGCTGCCCTGCAGAGAGTGTGTGTCTCGCGGCGATTAGCTGCACCCCCCTTCATGCGCTGATGTTCCCGGCGTGCAGCTGCTGCAATGTCACTTGGATGTCCAGTAGCAGATGGGGCTCCTGCAGGCGCAATCTGTTGGCTCACACTTTGTATACGGCATCGCACTCGTGGGGATCAGGTGCGAGAAGGATGGCCTCTGGCAGCGGGCCCGTTGCCCTGCGCGCCCTGCGTCGTGTCTCGACTTCTGCTTCGTTCAGAACTTCTACCCCTTCATCTTGGCTGTTGTCTACGTGCTGCGTGTGTGGCTATACCGTCGACCTCAGTATTTTTGTCCTCTGTCTGCGTGCTGCGGTTGTGGCTATACAGTGGGCAGTCTGGATTTCCACCCTGAGATTCACCTTCTCTGTTGACTACGAGTCGTACACCGTGCTCATCAGCGCGATCGGGGGTCTCACTCTTTCTCCCTCTTGGTTCTGACGAGGTGTTGTCGGACGTGCCGTGCTGCTCCATGGGACATGCCGCGCAGTTCCAACGACTTCGACGACTACGCCGACAACGACGACGACGACGACTCCGACGACGTCGACGCCGACGCCGACCGCGGCTCCAACGACGACGGAAACGACCTCGACGCCAAAAGAGGGCGACGACGACGAACACAGTGTGGACTCTGCGACTGCAGTGAGAAGGTTGGCGTGACCCGCGGGTTCTCCTGTTGCTTGCATCCTGGCGCCGGGTTCCCTGGGGGGCCGATGCTGGTCCCGGGTCCGCCCTCTGTGGCTCTGGTGCTCTTGCATCCCGCTTCCGTCGGTCAGCGGGGTCGCCTACAGTTTGCAGCGGCCACTGGGTGCGCCCCCTCTTCCGCATCATTCGCAATGTCTCTGCGGCTCTTGGCTGCGCCCCCCGCCGGACTCATTCACAATGGCTCTGCGGCTCTTGGCTGCGCCCCCCATCCTGTTCGCCAAGATTGCACCAGTCACCGCGTGTCAGGCAACTGGGCACATCTCCCGCGCCCCGGGCTGTGGTGGTCCTCCCTCCTCCTCCTCCTCCTCCTCCTCCTCCCTCCTCCTCCGCCTCTTCATTCATTCACTATGTCTCTGCGGCTTTTGGCTGCGCCCCCCCGTGCGAAGATTGCCGCGGCCGCTGAGGCTCGTTCGCCCTGGGGCCGGCCCAGGGTGCTTCGGCCCCTCGTTGTCGTTTCCGCCTTTGTTCCACAAGGGCGCCTTGGCACGGCAGCTGTGGTCGAGAAGTTCCGTGCGTGGAGGCCCA